ATCCAGGGCTCACAGCAAATACCTGGACGCTTGTTTATTGTTCATTCTTTGCAGTTAACTCACGCCACTCTCTATAATAAGTTAGTATAAATAAAAGCAAGCATTCATGAATCTGTAAATCCCCACATCTGACAGACTGCTCCCCCAGCTGGCCACTTTGAACAAGGGCAGCAAGAAGGAAAGCATATTGAAACCAAGGGCAGTATGACAGTAGCACCAGCTTCCCCCTCCCCTCTCCCTGTCAGCAGAGATTTCTCATTCACTGTACTGCCAGGGACAAAAGGAACAGGGGCCAGTACTGTATGCCCAGGCCATCCTGCCAAGTTAGATCGGGGTAGTACAGGAGCACTCAAGCTGAGCCAGGCCCTTGGGTTGGGGCAGTTTGACAACAGGGTTCTGTAGCAGCAGCCATGGGAATATAGAAAATAGAGATTCATAAAAAGAATGGCAGGCCCTCCCAAGCAATAGGGGTGGAAGTGGCCTGTGACCAAGGGCTCAGCCAGCTAAAGGGCCAGGCCTCTCCCACCACACCTGGGTTTCCCATTAACCCCTTAAGACTTTGCCTAAGCAGCTCCCAAACATCATTCCTAGTCCACCAAGGGTTCTCAGATACCCATTTAGCTTATTTTTCTTGTGCCCACTACCCCTGGGGTCTCTTCAAACTTCCACTAACACAGACGTTTCAGGGTGCACCCTGGTAAGCTCCTCCATCCCACCCTCTGCTGAGCTCATCCCTGTGCAGGGATAGGGCTGCCCACATTCACTCTAGGGGGCTCTGAATCCATTTGCATCCCCTTCAATGCCTCTTCCCCCAAGGTTCCAGATATCTACTGTGTGCAGCCTGGCCATAGACACAGTGGACTGGACTGTGCCAAGCACAGCATGGAGCAATGGACACTGCTGACACTTCCCCAAACCCACATTATCTCCGTACCTCTTCCCCCCCCACCCTCCTACCCCCTCAACATGCTATGTTGGTCCAGCTACTTTCCCCAGTTCTAGTCCCCTCAGCCAGCCCATGAAAAGCAGGTTACAAGATCAACTAACTGCCCCCCCATTCCTGGAGTGTAAGTGGATCAGTCCCAGAGTGTCTCACTGGCCAGCTAGCTCTCTCCGCAGCAACTTCCTAGAAGGGAAATTGAAAAAGGAGTGGTCACTTGAGGAACTTTAACCTCTTAATTGCAAGGTAGCTCAGAGAAAGGGTTGGAAAGCCATTACAGGATCCTGGACCCATGTCTGGGTAACAAATGCCACAGAGGCAATGTCTGCCTGGTGGTGGTTAATACCTCTCTGATAGAGGCTTCTAGATACCTGCCCCTTCTTCCTGAGCCTTCTATCTGCCTCCCCCCGCCCTGCAATCATCTTCTGGACACCCTACTTCAAGTGTACTCAGACCTCTGGGAGTGGCAGAAGCTGGGAGACCTGACCTCATATTTAGGCATGAAAGGCTTCATTATCCCATTGAGGAGACTCATTCATTGGATCTGCCACACCTCTGCATGTCACTAGGGCAGGAAGAAGCACAGGAATCCAGAGCAAGGGAAGGGTGATTCCAGCTGTGGCTGTACTGGGAACATACTGGACAGCCACTGCATGGGCCTCAGCCACTGCTCTCCAGCTGCCCCTCACAGGACCATGCTGTACTAGGTATGTCCCAAGCCCTGCTGTCTTCTTACCCAGGATGTTATGCTTGCACAAAGGGCATGTCTGCTGCAGGAGAAGCCATGGATCCACACAGTCCCGGTGAAACTCATGCGAACACGGCAGCACCCGTAGACACTATGGGCAGCAGGGAGACAGGAACACCAGACCAGTATGAGGCTCAGCAGGCTGAACCAGAGCAAGCAATCTAGCATCCCATTTCAGATGCACACTGGCAGCAAGCCCAGTGTACTGCCTCCCCACTGCACCAGGAAAGACTGATAGTCCAGCCAGTCTATTATCCCACCCCAGGCCCTGACCACTGCTACCTGCTCAGAAGGCAGGCAAAATATCCCAAATGTCCTTGCCTTACAGTGACAAGACCATCAAACAAGTACTTGAATGTTGACAATCTAAGGGCAGAGACCATGGACTACTTCAAGCAGGCAGACCTAGGAGGCTATCGAGCAGAGGAAGAATGTAGTTGTGACTTGTGCCCGGTTTTCACTATGGGCTGGGGGCAATCACTGAGACAGGAGTGTGGTTTTGTTGTCACCAGCTAACAGGCTTCTAGCAACCTGGCCCTACCAGAAATTTGGGAAGGCACTAACCATCAGGAACTCCTTGTCTCTGCCCAGCTCTACCTGATTCTTGTGGAACTGGTCCAAGCAGACGGCACAACTGTCAATCTCACAGCCCCGACTCCGGAGGTGTTTGCCAGGGTGGTAGCGCCGGGTTTTCAGTGCTGACAGCCTCTGCAGAATGAGCTGCTTGAGGTCCAGCTGCAAAGGAACAGCACAGTCAATTTACAGCTGCCCTTCCCTGCCAACTTCCTAAGGAGCGGGGAAAAGCGGAGGGAGGTGCCCACCTCAGTGTCCTGGTCTGACTGGTCTTGCCGGGACTGGCGCTGGGCCTGCACAATCACCCCAGTACACAGGATGAGGGCAATGAGCAGGATGGTGTTCCACAGTTGTTGAAGGTATTTCTACAGACAGCACATGGGTGGCAGTAAGGCCGCAGCACTTGGGCAAAGCATCTCACAGCCTACTCTGTCAGACAGATGTGACAGGATCCCTTGTGGTGCTTAGCTATGCTACTCCTTAAATCATCCCTGGAAGGTACCATTGAGCAACAACAGGCATTCTCCCCATTGTACTTTCTGTGACTGTGGGGTGGAGTCCTGTCTGGGTCCTTTTGTTTGGTCCTGTCTGCATGACCAAACAAAAAACTAAGCATTGGGCTGGTCTAGGAAGCAGGTTATGTGGAGTCCTTAATACTACTGAAGACAGGAGATACCATGGTGATGGTTTTGGCCCAGGTGGTTTTACTGACCTGACAGGGAAGGTCCCCTGTTTGGCCTTGAATGACTCAATGTATTTGAGGGTAGAGACCTGTCCACTGCATTGCAGGCAGGCCCCGTGAGAGTCTATGAAACTCCCATTGGGAGGCTGTCTCGCTACACAATTTATGGTGATGGGGGATTGTTCTTAGGCTTTCCCTTTAGTTTGCTCCTTTGGCCTTTGACTAGGGTAAAGCAAGACTAGGGGGCATCTGAACTCCAAGGCCTCTGAGTTTGCAGGTTGGATACTTGTCATGGATTAGGGAGCATTTGAAGCCCCAGCCTGAAGAGTCTGGGAGGTAGAATACTTGCCAGTGGTAGCACCACAGAGACTTGAACAATTGAGTTCTGCTCAGTCAACAGAATTCACAGCTGATTTAGCCTGAGACACAGTGTCAAAAAAAAAAAAAAAAAAAAAAAAAAAAAAAAAAAAAAAAAAAAAAAAAAAAAAAAAAAAAAAAAAAAAAAAAAAAAAAAAAAAAAAAAAAAAAAAAAAAAAAAAAAAAAAAAAAAAAAAAAAAAAAAAAAAAAAAAAAAAAAAAAAAAAAAAAAAAAAAAAAAAAAAAAAAAAAAAAAAAAAAAAAAAAAAAAAAAAAAAAAAAAAAAAAAAAAAAAAAAAAAAAAAAAAAAAAAAAAAAAAAAAAAAGAGCACCCTTGCTCACATGTCCAGCTCCTCACAAGATCTGCATATCAGTACCCTGCCACCCAGCTATGACAGACCTGAACCCGTGAGCTGTTCTCTCCCATGCAGATGACTCCTTGCCACTCCCCATACAGCCCGCCTCGGGACAGGCCACAGGTTGACCACAATGTGAGAGTCACTCCCTGCAGAGGAGACAAGTGCGATGCCATCCATGAGCCAACAACAGGGCTGGGTAAGACACACCTGCACAAGTGACAGTGATGCACAGCATTGGGGCAAGAGGAGGTTTCAAGGCATGACAATACCTAGAAAGGGGCAATGCAATTTGGCCTGCATGCACAAGGACACTGCACCACAGACCAAAGAGAGGGTACGTCTTCTCTAAATGGCTCTGGCATTATCTCCCCTGGCACCTATCACATCTGCAGGCCCACAGTAGAGCAGCAAAAGAAGCTGAGTTAAGATGGAGGCTGCCAAATCCATCTATAGAGTGGCTAACTGATAGTTTGTAGTTAGTCATGGCAAAGAAAGCAGGGTAACGGAACTAAACTGAGAAAGGTGGAAAAAGGCCTAGCGTGTAAGGGCACTGAACTGAGACTCGGATACAGTTCCCAGTTTCCTGTGGGACTTAGGCAAATCACTTAAACTGCACTGTGCCTCAGCTTCCCCATCTGTGTTAGGTGTCTAAAGAAACAGCAGCTCCTTAGCAATGAGATTGATTCAGCTGTGGAGTCATCTCCCAAGGGCGGTGATCAAAACCCTACAGGTTGGGATGTTAGACAAGGACTCTACAAGTTACACATTCCATGCATAGGTTCTGCACTCAGAGCACCAACAGATGTACCTGCTGCTGCTATGAGGTTCATGAAGCTGGTAAGGGACAAGATGCCATACCAACAAGTGAGTCTGACCTTGCACCCAATGCCCAGGCTGGGGTGTAGTCTGTTCCCTGCTGAGATTACGTACCAGGTTCTCCAGCAGCGCTGTCTGGTATGTGATCTTTGCTGTTGCCCGGAGCCCCCTGCTAGCAGAAGTCAAGAATAGCATTAGTTTCCCCATCTGTAACATTAAGACAATGCTTGATACCCCCTTCATGGAGGTGCCCAGAGGCTACCCTCGTGTTTGGAAAACACCAAGTATCACACCCTTGGGTGACAGCCCCAAAGAAGCAGACAAAAGGGCCAATATTGGGGTGAGTGGGTGCCCATGTTGCTCCACTCAGATCCAGCACCACTCAAGCAGAGGGCTTCACAGTGGGACATGTTTACAAAACCAGCCATTCAGAGTCAGTCTTCTGGAAGAAAATAGAGAAGTTTTTAACAGCTCTACTCAAGTAGCTCAGTATTATGACTGATCTGGCGCTGGATCCTCCCAACCCCGGAGTTCTGGGGCCTTATTATTAATCATGATGCAGGAAAGACTGAGGAATTTAATGAATACTCCTTTTCTGTGTTAGAAAAAGGAGAGGACAATGTGCCTGTTTTACATGAAGGTGACAAAATACTTTCCAGTCTATTAGTAATGGAGAAGGATGTTAACAGGGAAACAAAAGGAAACTCCAGGAGACTGCAATGACTTCAAGGGCGGATTCTCCATCTCTTGGAGTAATCAAGACTGGATGCCTTTTTGGAGTTGCTTTAGACAGACAGACAATCTTGGGCTCAAGAGAGGAAGAAGTAACATTATACAGGGAGTCATCCAAGATTACCAAAGGAATACCGGGGCCTTCAACTACAAATAAAACCAGACCTTTGCCACTTCCAGACAGCATCTCCACAGATAGACAGAGGATTGTATGGCCAAGAGCAGGGCGCATGCACACACTTCCAGGCCTGCAAGATGTTTGCACTCTCTGGCTGTCACTCCCCTTTCAGTAAGTACCTGCTTACCGTAACAAAGCCCCAAGGAGCTTGGTGACATTGTCTGAGGACTGGATCACGATCACAGGCTTAGCGAGGACCAGGGACACATCCAGCTGCACGAGAAGCAGAGCAGACACATTAGCAAGGCAGTGGAACCAGCTTCTTCCGAGCCTCCACAGCAAGATGAAGGGAAGCTGCTGAAAAGCGTCTACCTCTCGGATGGCGTTCTGATTCAGCGCCAGAATGAGCAGGGCCGATGCTCCTAGCACCAGGGCTCGCTTCATCTGTTGGGGGAAGAGACCAGAGAGTTCAGCCTGCTACACACAACACACATACGGGGACCAAAGACGACGACAGGACAGGCCAGCAGCCCGGCAGCCGGGCAAGCTTCTGAACAGTTCCTCTTCCCGCACAGGAAGATGCGTCTCCAGTCCCCCTCGCTCTCGGGATCATGGAGCCAACATGTGCCTGGCTGAAGAGGTCCTGGACCCCAGGGCCCTTCTGGCCTCCCCGAAACCGCCCCCAGGCAGAACAGCAGCTTCTCTTCCGCCTCCCCCGGAGCCGCCTCAGGAGGGGGATGCGCCCCAACGCCCTTGGGAGCGCGGGGCTGCCGGCGCCAGACGAAGGGCCGTCCCGACCCGGGACAGCCCGGTCCCGGCCCCGGCCCCGCCCACCTTGCTGACCACGGCGGCGGTGAAGGACTCCTCCGAGCTGCTCCGCGGCGCCTCCGCCTGCTCCTCTCCCAGCGGCACCACCCCGATCCAGCTGGCCTCCTCC